TTTTTCTACATTTTCTGGGCATAAGAGACGATGGAATGGCTGGTGCTATCGATTTGCTATCGATAACAGATAGTTAATCGTGACATACAAAGAACTAGATCCTGTTGATTGTTGCGGTTCTTGATGTCTTGCATGTACACCAAGAACCTCGAAAACAGGATGACCTCTGCCTATACTTTTCGGAAATGAATGAATTGTGCCAGCCATTCCGTCTGATTTCAGCTTTCTACAATTGGAAAAGCTTTGCAGCACTTGCTCATATACCGTGCTTATGCTGTCGAATAGGTGGGTCGGATTTGATCGCTTTAAGATGGCGATTGATGGCTCAGCATAGGCATAATGAGATTTTACCGCTCTTTTTTCTGAATATCTCATGTCAAGGGGCAGCTTTTAGGCTATTTTGATGGACATTGCTACTAGAGGAGAGCCTGGAGCTGTTCTGGTGTTCCTACCTGGTTGGAATGAAATCATGCTTGTCATGAATTTCTTGACTTGCCACGCTGAGTTCTGTAAGTTTCCATCCCAATCTCTCTCCAGGGTGTGACATACATTCGATGAAATTCTGTTCCAGCGAAGTCATCAAAATACATAATTTTGCCGCTTCACTCTCAGTTGACAGGCGGTGAACAGCGCAAAGTTTTTGATCATTATGGGGATGAAATGCGAAAGGTAAAAGCAAAGGTATTCTGCCAGTTAGCTTAATTAAATTATTCTGATCAGATTATCCTGGCCACAAATATTGCGGAGACGAGTATCACCATCGATGACGTTGTCTTTGTAATTGATTCATGCAAGTAAGTTTACAGTATTATGAACGGTGGCTTGACGCAGACTCTCAGTTGCAAAAGTTCTATCACAATACTAACAGTACCAGTCATCTTTCTTCATTTCTGTTTTCACTTTGCTTATTTTAGGGCAAAGGAGAGAATGTACACTTCTAACAATAACATGGTGCATTTTGCCACTGTGTGGGCATCTCGCACAAATTTGGCCCAACGGCGTGGTCGTGCTGGTCGTGTACGACCAGGCTTTGCTTTTCATCTATGCAGTAAAGCTCGCTTTGATGCGTGAGTTGCTTATTATCTTCCTTGTTTGTTTTTTCTCAATTTTCCCGCTTTTCGGCTTTTTCAGGCTTGACGAACATCGTACTGCTGAGATCCTGCGTACACCATTGCACGAAATAGCGCTCACTATTAAACTGCTGAGGCTTGGCAGCGTTGGTGACTTTTTGGGTA